CTGCACATTCAGGCAAAGTGTGACAGATGCGAGTCATAGAGTGAAAACGCGGAGCATAGATAGTAATGTATAAGGAAAAACCTACGTATGTTTTGCAATGTCCGCAAAACCGCTGTCAGCGTGCTTTTTATTTATCGCTCATTTATCTTTTATAGCAATTTTAGTTTAATAACAACATCACAGACTAAACAAGAATTATCTGTCGATATAAATAAAACGATAGAGGTCCGTCCTTGTGCGCGCATCACGGAAAAACTAATATATTTCAATTAATTTTTCTAAGTTTTATTTCTGAGACTTAGTTATTATATCCGGAAATTAAATTAAATTAAATTGATAATTATATTACTTTTACTTTTTTGGATAAAAGTAAAAGTAAATAATCAACAACTAGAAAGTTCTTAATAATTTATCTATATCCACTAAACAAAATCGAAAACAACACAAACCCGTACAAAATGTCCTAAAGTTGTTACAGTTTTTGTCCACGAAGGCCGTTAAATGTTTGACTGGTAAAAAAAAACGAATAGTTACTTGACTTTTTCATAATAAAAATATTAATTTACTTACTGAGTATCGCCAATGGAAAATTCCAAGATAGTAGTGACAAAAAACAATCGAGTTAAACGCTAATAACTGGTATTAAAACTAACACGAAATATCGTGAGGGTAAGACAAAAAACTACTAAAATATAAGTGAGCTCAGTAAAAAGATAATTTGAATCAAAAGATTGTCAGTTCAAATAAAATAGAATAATCGCCACAGTTAATGTACCAGTTTATATGCGTTTTTGCCTTGTAATCTTCCTCAATAAACTTGGTTAACCAAGTCGATTGAGGAAGATTATAATTATATAACTTAAATAAATTTAAGAGTTAACACTGCGCCAGTGTGAAATAAAGTTAAGGTAAAAACTTTATTTCACACTGGCGCAGTATGGATAGATGCAATCAATGTTGTTTAATTATTTACTTAGATGACGCATGTCCATACTGCGTGGTGTTTAAAAACTGTTCCGCTTTACATTAAATAACTTAACTTACATAAGTGAATGTTAACAGATGATATAGTACGTATGATACGGAAAGATGTGGCAGTCTATAGAATATCAATCTAATGACACCAATTGGTGAATTTGAATACCTCTGTTTCGGTACGCTAGTGTCATACCTACCTCTTATTTGTATATAATATCAATTGGATGCAATAACAATTAATTAGTTGTGTCCGTAAGTGTAATAAATAAATAAATAAATAAAAAAAAATAATGTAAACCAATATGATAGGGCGAGACAGGACAGATAACGGGAGAAGTTCTTAGAAGTCATTAGAAATTTCAGTTAAATATTTAAATTGTTGCGCGTGTTTTTTTTTACAGGATATTCCTTGATTTTTATTGTAACAAACAACAAGTTATCCTCGCTTTAATAAACGAGGTAACACTCGCATTCGCCTTCCATATATCATTTTCACAGTGCCGTATGCGGTATGCCCTCACTTTGTGAATACATAAACGCGTATAAGCAGATGAACTCGCTAGACAATCTCATTGCTAACACGACGCGATATTTTTATGTGATAAGTTGGTTATCCTGATGTCATGATCGAGGCCATGGACTTCTAAATCGGCTATTCCAGTTACCTGAATAATCAGAAGAAGCGTAAAAATTAGAAAAGGAGCTGTCGGTTCACCTAATGTTAAGTGATAACCGCCGCCCATTGACGTTATTATATATGAGCTCCACCTTCCTCACTCGCCAGACGAAACGAAGAAGAACACGTTCACTTCACGCCGGTCTTCTATGAGGTCGTGGTACTTACCCGGATTGCCCATTCGTGCAACAGCGTGTCGTGTGTAACTATCGCGTGGTCCAAATTCAAATATTTGTTTGCCCTAAATAGGGTTACAACAATGTTTAGGTACATGTCTGTCGCTTTAACCTATTTAGCTATTTAACAGCTTGCAAATTTAGCTTTAGCAATAATTGAATTGCCATACAGTCATCAAATAAAACGTATATAGTAATGGTATTTAACTTAGTACACTTCACGCCGGTCTTCTTACCACGTATCGAATCCTGCCCATTTATGCTACAGCAGCAGATTTGCAGCAATTTGTGAGTTGAATTGATCAAAAGTCGAAATTCTTTCGCCAGTTCTCTGAGAAGACAAATACCTGTCTGAATAAGTTGTCTTCTCTAAGCTTCCTAGGTCACATCGGTTCGTAAACACCGTTGGCGTTGCCGATTTACATAAATAAGCGAGTAACGATAGTTGCATTGAATTGCAAATTTTAACTGAATTTTCTTCTTCTACAAAAAATTATAATTAAGGTTTCATCTCGTATGCAGAGACTAGCAATGAAATTAAAATTATGACAAACTACGCCATTGTTTCGTCTACAAAAAGTAAACAGGTCGTTCATGGGGCAAAGTGTGCGCATGTGCATGTACAAAATCCCACAGTCGATATTAAGTCTGCCACTTGATGAATTTAAACGAAAAGTTAAAAGTAAACTTATGGCTAAAGCATACTATACTATTGCTGAATATCTTGACGACGCCAATGTGTGGGGTTAATACTGTTGATACTCACGTAGGCTAAAACAAGACTATTATATACCTGTAACATTATATTGTAAACTGACCTTTTAAAAAAAGAGCAACTGTTGAGTTTCTTGCCGGTTTCTTCTCAACAGAAACTGCTTTCCGAACCGGTGGTAACTTACGAACATGTTAATTAATTTCCTTGTAAAATTTCGACGTTTCATAAGAACGCGCAAGCGTCTATGTGAATAAAGATATTTTATTATTATTATTATTATATTAATGCTAAAAATTTTAGGAGCAATGGCGACTACTCTCGTTACGAATGTTCATCATTGAATGTATTTGTGTGTGTGTGTAGTGTTGTATTTATTTATTTACTTTATTAGGAAATTTCACAGTATGTAGTATGTATGCTGTAAAGGATGCACACTAGATGGCGCGAGGTTATCAGCCGCTTAGCTTAGTTGGTAAAGCTTCAGGGTACACACCAAAAGACGCTGGTTTGAATCGCGCAGTGCCAAAAAATTTTGTCCGTTTATCTACAACCATTTATTCATAAAGTTTTACAGAATTAGTTGGAAATCGAATGCGGCACATTACACAGCGATGCACTCACCGCGAAATGTAGTCATAATTATTATACGGACCTACAAGGATAACTGCAGGTGACGATTTTACCTTCAACTTGGAAATGAATAAAGGCTCTTACTCGTCCATCTTGACGCGTCATTATTTTAATTGCGTTAAAACAACGCGGAACTTTTTTCGTGGACCTCCGCTAAAGACTTTTTTTTGGGCTGTTGCACATTTGAACAATTGGGTGGGATTTGTACAAATGGACAGGTCCGTCCGGGTAAGTACCACGACCTCATAGAAGACCGGCGTGAAGAGGAAGTGACATACTTCTGCGTTTTATCTGGTGAGTGAGGTTGCGAGGGCCCACTTTATTAATAGGTGGCTCTAATCTGAAACCCTAGGGGTGTAGCAAATGTGAACCGCCAGCTCGAATTGTCAAAAACAAAGAATAAATGAAGCTAGAGAAACAAAATAGCACCCAGGAGACCTCATGTTTTACTAATCAATCTTGTAAGAATAAATACACGACTTTTGTGGTTTAGAATCGACAGACAATGTTTGTCTGTCAGTGTGTCATGATGGAATACGTAATGCGTGACATCAAAGTGTACAGTGCATCCGCAAATTATGTTTGCATCACGCTAATGTATTCCTCGGTTCTTAGATTCAAACGAGCCCTGGCCAAGATGCCCCTTGAGCGTGCATTTCAATGTCAAGACAGCGTCTAAAGTGTGACAACGTGCAATTTGCACCGCTCATATTAGTCATATAAATTTAACTAGTATCTAGTGTTAAAGTGGCATTGGCTAATGAGTGGTCAACAAGTTTTTATGTGAAAAGTTGTCAAGCTAGCTAGCTATAGATGGTTATCATCATAATTTCAGCCTGTTTGAGTCTACCGCTGAACATAGGCCTCCCCCACAGACTGCCACGAAGCACGATCCTGAGCCACCAGCATCCATCGACTTCCCGCACACTTGCACAGGTCGAAGCTCAAAGTCGCTCAGCGAGTTATGGAGCGGGCTACGCTCGGTACTTCTCTGCGTGACAGAGTACGCAACAAAGACATCCGTAGTAGAACAAGAAGGTTAGTTAGTTGAGGTGGGCCGGCCATATAGCAGGCCGCCGCCTATGGACATCTACAACCGATGGCTTGCTGATGCGTTGACAACCTTTAAAAAAGTGGGGCCCGTTACCTCACTAACGAGGCGAAACGTGACAGTTAAATACGGATTCGGTGTAGGGCGCGTAGTACTCGTATTTATTTATTGTATATTGTTACCTTTAAACCTAAAAAATCTATGCCTAAGCCACTTATTTAAATGTCCAAAGACCTCCTCTGTACCTACAGAGGGTATTCGCGGATTGGCGGACTTCACATGTTTTCGTAATATTTTTTCTGTTTTTACTTCGAAAATATGCAGGCTACCTCACGATGTTTTCCTTCGCCGCCGAGCACGCGATAAGTCGGCACTTAAAATGAACAATTTCATTTGTGCCGGCACCGGTGATCGAACAAATCAAGGCTTCTTACTGCGTATCTGTGGTAGGGCCACGCAACATTGTTCGCTGTTGCACGAATGGGCAGGTCCGTCCGGGTTAGTACCACGACCTCACAGAAGACCGACGTCAAGTGGAAGTGTTATACTTCTGCGTTTCGTCCGGTGAGTGAGGTAGCCGGGGCCCGATTTATTAAAAGGTGGCAACACATCTGCAACCCTACCGGTTTTGCAAATTCATGGGCGGCGGTCGTCAATTAACTAGGGGAGCCGCAGGCTCGTTTACCACTTTCTCGCATTAAAAAAAATCCAATCGAGAACAAATGAAACTAAGGGTTCCTTAGACGATTTATTACAGTACATATGGCGCGGTTAGTCCAAGCTTAGGTCGCTGATGGGGACGGAGTCGAAGAGCTTGCTGATCTCCTGGACGATGTTGGAAACGATCACGCTGATGATGGGCGGGGAGACCTCCTGGATGATGTCCCGCCAGTTGTTGTTCGCAAACTCGTGGATCGTTGCCGCTGGAAGGTGAACGAAGACAATACTTAAGATTCACATTCCTCAACATAATGCAGGGTACTTTAACTCCACTTTTACTGTTCAAGCTACACTCCTCTGGAACGTCCTATAAGATCAAAACAGCTCCAAATAAGTATATGTTCAAAAAATTAATTCGAGAATACTTATTGAATAATTGACTTTATTTCACTTATTCCATTTGTGTTTTTATTATCCGTATATGTATTTATTTATGTATCTATTTCTATATATATGTATGTATCTATGCATTTATGTTACATTTTATGGCACATTTATTAACTTTATTTTTTATAGTCTTCATTTAGCACATACCATCTACTTTTCACCATAACGAGGGTTGACTGGTATATTGATTGCGAATGTGAAGGTGTAGCAATGAAGATATAAGAAAGGCAGTAAATGCTTCTCACGCGTGAACGAGGTACACATAGAATCTGTATCGTGTATAATTCGACAATCCGATTGTGTAATGGGTAGTGAATGCCTCTTGCGTCAGAGGTAGTGGGTTCTGTCCCCACAACTAAAAAAATATTGTTTGATGAACATAGTGTTTTTAGATTGTCTGCGTGTTTGATTTTATATATATAATTCTTCTGCACGTGTGTATGTCACTGAACTCCTCCTAAACGGCTGGGGCGATTTTAATGAATTTTTTGTGTGTCGTCAGATCGATTCGAGAATGGCTTAGATTCACAATTCTTTTTTTTTATTATTTATAAGTTGTTGTCGGATTCAAGTCGCGGGTACCGGACAACCTCTGTTGGGTCCGCTAGTATATGTATAATATGTATTTATTTACAAAGATACTCGTATGTTTTTAATATGTTAATTGGTTATTTAGAAAAAACCCTGTGAAGAAACTCTGAAGTTCACTTTTGAGACAAGGTCAGAATCTGAGTTGTACAAATCGAGTCTCGGCCGGAAGGCCGTACTCACCGAGCTGGCTGTTCCCGCCAAAGAGGTTCTGGAAGGAGAACTCGGCCCTGGTCTCCACGTGGGCCGAGTGCCGATAGGACCCCAGTGTCCAGTAGCGCTGCCCGTACGCCGACCGCTCGCCGAAGTCTAAATCGATCTTCACCACGATGTCACCTGTGGCCGCAGTCAATTTACGAATTTTTTATGGCAAACGAGCTGGCGGTCCACCTCATGTTAAGTGATAACCGCCGCCCATGGATATTTGCACACCCGTAGGGTTGCAAACGCGTCGCCACCTTTAAATGAAGTGGGCCCCGGCTAGCTCACTCTCCGGACGAAACGCAGGAGTAAAATATTTCTACTTACCTACTACTACCATAAAAGTCTGTCATACCATTCTTAAATCTTTGAAAGCTTTTGATGGAAGCGACGGTTTTCAAATCGAAAACTGTATCCACTTACGAATTTTGATCTTGTATCTGCCCTGTCCTTCTACGGGCAAGATCAGCAACTGGCCATCTAGTCTATAGTCGCCGACGAGCGTCACAGAGCACTTGATGTCCAATCTTGTTCGCTGCGGGTAACGTCTGGTGGCGAAAATATATGAATTAGTATTGTCTATATTCCCTGATTAGGTGTGATGGATTTGATCATTGAGATGATCAGAAGCATAATAGATGCTCGAGTTGAAAGAAAGAAAGATACGTTTATTTGTTAAAAGATGGTAATATAGTTCTTAAAAGTTGTAACGCCCCTTACGTCCTTACATTTTTGGTGTACATAACCTATAATATTTTACAATGCAACTTTACATATACAATAAATGTATAACATTTTACATTTATTGTATATGTGAAGAGAATGTAATTTAGGAAACTTTTTTTTAAAAAAAAATTGTCATTTAGATAATCACTTGTGGAATAATACCATTTGTTTGTAAGAAAATGAAACAAACTCCTTTTTAGAGGATTATTTCTTTGGATTGGATGATTTGGACTAACTATCGGTTTTTGCCAAATGTCTACGATTCATACTATTTATACTATAACTTTATATATTATAACTTTAAACGCAGAAGTATAACACTTCCGCTTCACGCCGTTATTCTGTGAGGTTGTGATACTCCCCTGACGGACCTGGCCATTCGTGCAACAACGAAAACTAGCGTAGTCCTACCACAGTTGAAATTCTGCGCTGGCATCAAGGCCCCACTTACATTACGCTCAGCACCTGGCAGTTCCGCAGGCCTTTCACCACAGTGTTCCGGAATTCCATGTCGAGGCCGGCCTGTCTCGCCACCACCCTCTCCAGGGTCATGGGGTCCAGGGACTGCATACCAAAGCTCGGGATGCCAGCAGCTATCGCGGGTAGCGCGTTCTGCGCGGACTGCCGCAGGCAATCCGTGTCCGAAGAGTAGCACGGCGTGATGAACGGAGCTGGAGACGTTATATTACAAGTTTAAATAGACTAATAGACCGAGTACTTTCTTGGATTTACACGAAAAATGCACAGTGAAAACAAAACCATTTCCCATCATAATATGCACTGAAACAATTCGGCCTGTCACGTATAGTGATATGTAAAATGTTCGAATCGTCATAAATGAAAAAAAAAACATTAACCACGATAAAATCCATAAACTAATTTCATTCAACAAGTCTAATGGACTCTCTGTCCGCTGTTTAGGAGTCATACTCTGAGTCTAAGGTCGAATGGAAACCTGCACTCGTGTGAATCAAATAATTATTTTCAATATAATAAATGTTAATGTTGCATATAATAGACAAAGAGAACAATATCTAACTGTCTACAAAACTATCACTTATCCTTAGGGAGTAGATAAGAAAATATGAAGCTGTGAACTAGCCAACGAGTTAAGTCCCAAATGTGATCGGTTGTCGACCTTGTCGACGTAAACTTATACGGATATGACATGTTTACGAGTATGAGATCCGATAAAAGGGTAGCTTGGTAGTGCCCGCCCTATAGATCAAAACCCTTGATCTTAAATATCCAGATCCAAAGTCTTAACTACTATGCATGCGCGTGCACAGCACAGTGCCAATTAACCACGTAGCAAGAGTAGCCATTGCTACGGGTTGCTTTATCCGGCACTGGCATTGCGTAGATGCAAAAGAGCTTTGCATGTCGTCCCAGAGAAAGCAAGAGTGAGAAATCCACGAGTTATAACAAAGTTTTTTTTTTTTTTTTTGAGTTAAAGAAAACAAAGTTACCATCTAACAGCCTTATCAAAAGCCACTTTGGATATCATTTGAGTGACCTGTCATTTTATCATTAATCAATTAGAGAAATTGGAAAGTTTTTTAGTGCATCATCATCATCATTTCAGCCTGTTTGAATTCACCGCTGAACAGACTGCCACGTGCATACAACGTCTCAAATATCTATCGTCTATTATTACTACGATATCAATGACCTTGATAGAAACCTTGATTGGGACCTTAAAACATGTGCAATATGTTATTTCTTCAAAGCAATTATTAATTGCCTTCACCTTCAAGAATAAAATTAAAAGAGACGTCATACACTGTACCAATCAGGCCCTTAGACCCTGGAAAAGAGGACATCGCTCAATTCCTTTGGGTCTTTAATGTTTTTAACAAACTAGGAAGTTACAAGACGGAAGGATTTCACTGCTTACCTTCTCTTATTTGACAAACGACAAGATAAATGTCTACGCATCGTTTCCTGATTTTGGTATCTACGATAAACTTTATAAAATCGAAGGGCTTTCCGTGGTGATATTTTAAGACAGTTAAAACAAACAAACTTTCGATCCTGAATAAATTTTGGACAATCCAAATATATAATTATATTCATTATTATATTTAACATTAAAATATTTTCATCATATTTAGCCAGGATCTACTTTAGACTAATCAAAATAGACGTAGACAGTTAGACCTTAATAATAAACGATCTATTGTAAGGAATTTTTATTGCGCACTCACAGACCAAAAATAACATAAAGAGACACTACTAGTAACTAGTACTTAATTACTATTATTAAATAAAAGTACGTTAATTCATTAACATATAAGATGTACAAAAATACCAGAGAAGTTATCGCTGCTAATTTCCAAAGCCCCTTTCTTGCCTCGGAGACACATTTAGTTTCCAGACTGTAAACACACACAGCAGCTTTCTGCTGTTGCCTTTATTCACACATAAAAATATGTAAGAAGAAAAGGGCACGTCCGAGGGTCTCAAAAACGACAAGCTGACAATGTAGCGGTACCACACGTGTGCAGTAGATGGCCTTGGTTACTTAATTCCAGGGAAATGTAGAGGTATAAAGAAGAAAAGCAATCGATCAAGGTCGGTGACAAGTTAAGCGTGTCGCGTGATGCTCCATGTGTATCTATAACCAATAACTGCGATGACGCAGTCGCCGTTAAAACACGATCAAATAACGATCAACGAAGGTGCTATTATAGTGAAGCCATTCAAAACCTGCGTGCACGGTGCTATTTTAACCGAATCAACAAAGAAGCAATAAGACACTTTTGTTTAATTGCTTGATCGGTTGGTTAATATGGCTTTGGAAGCCCGCTGTGGTAGTTTCGAATCAGATCAGAAACAGTGTTTGTGTGACTTATGGATATTGTGTATTTATTATAAACGTATTGAGGTAAACTCAGAACAAAAACAAAGGATAACGTTATTGTACTGTATGGGTAACCTCTTGTTAAAAAATAAAAAGAATGAATTCTTAACCACAGATATATAGTTTAGTACTGTATACTAGAGTACGTTATGTGCGCCAATATTAATTACAGTTCGGGCCCATTTTACACTGGAGGGTTAAGTTACCCGTTTATAAAAAGTTATTATCTTCCTTACGTTTTCTTAGTATTAACTTCACCACCTCCCGCCGACTATAACGATTTCTAAAGCATAAAATATATAATTTCTAAAGCCCACCAGCAAAACCACTGAAACATTTCGAGTCTTGAATTGAAACTTTGACCAGTTGACGAAAATTGCACTGACAGTTAGGGTTGCCAACTATACTTTTAACTATTTTTGGCAAACATACTTTACAGTTTTGCATAAAATAAAGTATGTGAAAATACTATGTTTCTGGACAGTTTTTCATTATAATTAAATACACTTTTAAGGATAATGAAAAACTGTTAGTGTGCTAGAAGCACACGAAAATAACTCTTCAAGGGAAGAAATAAATAAAAAGTACATAAAATTTTTAAAATAATCTTTTTTTCTTCCATAAATTTATTTCCTATTACTTTAATACTTTATTTTTCCCTACTTAATTTAATACTTTATTTTTCCCTAGTTATTTTTCAAGCTGGTTGGCAACCCTACTGAGAATAGTACTTACTTAGACTTGCGTCCCCCTTAGAGTACAACGTTGCGCAGATGAGGAACAGCGTGAATGGCTTCATCTTCCGGCCTTGACCGACGACACACACACAGACAGTGCGACCGAACGACTAATCACACCAAATATATACAGAAAGCCCATAAGTAGACCAAGTGCCCAAAGGTAAATCGTTTATGCAATTAACCGTACAAAGATTTATTAAGGAAGGGTTAATTCGATTATAATGGTGTCACTTTCAGATGACTCAACTTTGTAAATATACACTCATCGTCGAACAATTCCGCGGGCAACATGTATAACTATCAAAAATATCTAAAACTTCATACGTCTATAATAAATAGACATCAAAAACTATATATAAGTGTATAAAATTCAAGATTAAATACGTGGCTGTATCAGTAGACTTGTCTTTGGCACCACAATATTATGTTAAAAATTGTCATGTTGTAAATCTTTATTCAGTTTACACACATATGTCATTTAAAATTATGAGAATTAATTAAGAAGAAGAAGAATAAGAAGAAACGTTTATTTTATTAATTCGTCCCCGCCCATATGCGGATTGACGCCCAATGACTTTGCCCAGCAGTGAGACATTTATTTACTTTGAAGCTACTATGATCGTCATAATTTCCCATCTAAATACAAATTGAGGTCAGTCCAAAAAGAAAATTAAGAAGCCACTCCAATAGTTTGTTAATGTCCTCTGGTTCAGCACAATGATCATTCATCAATCCACTGCTGAACATGAGTCACCTGCATCCATCGACTTCCTGCAGATTTGCATAGGCCTTCATTCCATATAGTGAGAGGTTTTCTTGCACTAAGATGTCTACCACAAGGCTGCATCAGTAGAATCGTCATTAGTTAAGATAACATAACTACCATAAAATGTCTCTCGTTAATTATACTTTTCCGATGAAATTCGAAAGGCTTATCGTTTATTAAATGTTCCTTTAATTGCTATCACTCATTATTTAGTAACGATCGTAACTTTATCTTGAACCGGTCATGGCTATAGTAATAATATCTCGAGTGAGTTTCAACTCAATGGAACCGGTTTTTAAATTTTCTTTATACGCGTTAAACTTATTTACAGGTTTGTATTGTAAAAAATCCGTGATGAATTTCCACTGTTTAGCAGGCCATATCACAATATGTGCGATGCTCCTAAACATATTTGATTAAGAAATAATTTGAGGTCATCAACGCTAAAGAAAATTATATTTTTTATCCTAAATACATTCATTTCTTTTAATTTATTCTTCAAATCTTAAATAATTAAGGTAGTTAAATACTATTTTTCGAACCTCTTCTAACATAATATCGATTATTCCAAACTTTGTTCATATGTGGTACCAGCTTGGAAAAGTGCTCAAGTGACTCCTCCTCCTCTCCCTAAGAAAGCCCATGCATTGCAATTTTCCGATTTTCGTCCTATTTCTATTCTCCCGTTCCTGTCCAAAGTTCTAAAGAAACTAGTTTTTCAACAGTTAAATCTCTATCTGAACAAAAATTCTATTCTTAATCCTCTTCAATCCGGTTTCCGATCAGGTCATAGTACGACTACAGCGTCGGTTAAAGTTACTGATGACATTCGACGGGGTAAGCTCACTGTACTTGTGTTGCTAGATTTTAGTAATGCATTTAATACCGTTGATTTTGACATTCTGTTGAGTGCGTTACGTTCTATTAACATATCTTCACTAGTGATTGGCTGGTTTCAAAGTTACTTAAGTGGCCGACGGCAGCGTATTCGCATAGAGAATGAAATCTCGTCTTGGTGTGAATTGCGCGCCGGAGTGCCTCAAGGTGGTGTGTTGTCTCCTCTTCTATTCGCCGTATTCATTAATTCAATTTCTCAAAAAATTACTTCTCTCTATCACATGTATGCAGACGATCTCCAAGTGTACACACAGTCAACTCTTGAAGACTTGCCTACTGCTGTTTCCGCCATCAATGATGACCTGGCCGCTGTCAGTGAATGGAGTAAAATCTATGGTCTCAATGTTAACCCTACTAAGTCCCAGGCTATTATTGTTGGTGGTGTTGGTTTGATTTCAAGAGTTGACTGGAATAACCTTCCCTTGGTAAAATTAAATGACGTTATAATACCGTACTGCACCACTGTGAAAAATCTTGGTGTCCAATTTGACAATTCCCTCTCGTGGTCGGAACAATTGAATCAAGTGAGCCGAAAAACATTTGCTGCGATGGGTTCTCTCCGTCGTTTACGTTCTTTTCTTCCCATTCCAACTAAAATTATGCTAGCACAATCCTTACTCCTGTCCATTCGCGATTATGCGGATGCAAGCTATCTTGACTTAACCGAAGAACAACTAAATAAACTTGAGCGTATTCAAAATTTAGCTATTAGGTTCATATTTGGTTTACGCAAATATGATCACGTTTCCGAATTTCGTTCAATGCTCAAGTGGTTACCCATTCGTTTTCGCCGGAATGTACACACTGTCTCTCTTCTGTACTGTGTATTATTTAACCCTAGGACTCCAAGCTATTTAAAGGAACACTTTAAGTTTCTTGGCCATAACCATCCAGAACGAGTTCTGCGATCAGCTGAAGATCTAATTCTAGCACCACATGCGTACAAAACTAAATATTATAAGAACTCCATTACAGTTAAGGCCATCTGCTTGTGGAATGAACTTCCTCAGCAAATTCGTCGTTCGAAGACGCTAGACAAGTTTAAAATTGACGTAAAACAACATTATCTATCGCTTTGTAATCCATAGTTTTTAATGGCAATATTCAGATTTAATTCTTCTCTCGTGTATTTATTTATGTATATTATATATTTATTTATGTTTATGTATGTTTATTATAATTTTGTTTATCCTATTATATTTAAGTCTATTTTGGTATTAAGTAAGTTTATTGAGCACACCACCTCCCACTATTCATTAGTTTATTTTTCCTCGTCCTAAGGTTGTCTGGAAGAGATCACTTTTTAGCGATAAGACCGCCGTATTGTACCTAGCTTTTAAGACTTATTTCATACTAATTGTATCAAATTCTTTGTGGTGTACAATAAAGTATATAATAATAATAATAATAATACCAATTTTTGACCATTTCAAAAATGCTGCTGTCAATGTAGAGTAGCGAGCGCGTGGAATCTGCAGTGATACAATGAGTAATGTCATAAAACGTCTCCATCTCAATTTTTCCGATGTATTTGTTACTCCTATTAATTGTTCAAGCAACTAATTCAGAATAGCTTAAAGAACTATGTCTTCTTCAACAACCTCACGCGTCAGAACAAATTGGCTGAATAAATGCATCGCTTCACAGAACATATCCTAAACGCCTTAACCAGCCCCGCCCCAGATGGGCCGGTACGTTCTTTTTCGATGTCGCAAAACCTGGCACAACAGCTTGCTTACTAGCTACACTTATTATCGCTCAATGCAATAGACAGACTAATTCACACTATTCGAGCCCGTAGTTGGGTTGGACCACACTCCTTTCGTTATAGAATGAAGCTCTCATTTTAATTCATTATACTCAGGCAACCCAAGTTCAAATTCCGGCAGGCACCAATGAAATTGTTAATTTCAAATGACTTATCACGTGCTTAGCGGTGAAGGAAAATATCGTGAGGAGACCTGCGTATTTACGAAAGAATTACAAAAAGGAAAATTGTATATAATTTGAAGATATGTGATTGTGGGGCAGCACGGTGGACTATGCCCTAATACCCTCTGTACAGAAGAGGGGTTTGTCCAGCAGTGGGACATGGGTAGGCTGATACTATTACCCTCCTTTCTGGATTCACTTTACTTGATAAAGTCAACCTACAAACTTTACCCGAACCTGATCACACATGAACTCAAAATCCCCTTTGAATTTTGTGGAGATCAATCTTCGAAACCACATAGCCATTTGAAAAATTCTTCAACCAATTACGTTATTCCAGATGGACATTTATATATGCATACGTACAGCTTCTACAGGTGGATTTGTTTGTGAGCACATTTTTCATTTCTCTCTGGATTTACGAATTGAACAAAGTGTACACTACCCACTAATAAAAATTATAGGATAAAGATTCAATGATTCAACCCGTAGTATTTACGATACCCTTTCACATATATTGTGCAAAATTTCGAAACGTGTTCAATTGCTATTCTCTTTTTGGCAGGCAAACATGACGAAATAAACAATTATTATTTGTCATGGTACAGTTTGTAACATCTACACAATAAAGTCTTAATCAACACGAAAAAAAATGTGATATAAAGTACTAAAATTTTGTACATACTAATATTATGTTTTTTAAATGCTATATGCAAACTCTTTAGTCTGAAAATGAATTCTGGCTGATTTTATAAAAAAAACAATGTCATACTTATTAAAAATTAAGAAAATTATTCTATTTCGATACTGATTATTTCGTTTTTAAGTTGGATGGTATTTATTGAGAATTACGACTATTGCATTACCACGAAATGGTTGAGGGTGTGCTCTACTCTCGACACATCAAGGTCCAGCAATTTTTTGCTCTTAAACTGCCTCTACCACAACCAAATGGCACTTATACGATAATATAAGTAAATGTTTTACAAGAAAACAGTTAAAATTAATAACAACTAATAAATTCTTTCCAAATCAATACCAAGTACTGCCCAGAATTATATCAAATGTACCTAACATTTTAGACGATTGGAACCACCAAAAATGAACCATTCGGTATGCTTTTTTTTAAATTAATAAATAAATACTTACGGCTTTGTAAACCTGTACAAGTTATTTTCAGGGTTCCGTGCCAAAAGGGTAAAGCGGGACCTTATTACTAAGACTCCGCTGTCTTTCTGTTTGTCTGTCTGTCTGTCACCAGGCTATATCTCATGAACCGTGATTGTTAGACAGTTGAAATTTTCACAGATGATGTATTTCTGTTGCCGCTATAACAATAAATACCAAAAAAACAGAATAAAATAATATTTTAGTGGGGCTCCTATACAACTTTGATAAATTTGATTTTTTTTCCGTTTTTGTAGATAATGGTACGGAACCCTTCGTGCGCGATTCCAACTCGCA